GTGTCTGTCTAGTTGATCTGTCCCTTAGTGAGAGTGGAGTGTTGAAGTCTCCCACTATTAGGGTATTAGGATCAATGTATGATTTAAGCTTTAATAATGTTTCATTTACGAATGTCGGTGCTCTTGTATTTGGGGCATATATTCAAGATTGTGATGTCCTCTTGGTGGATTTTTCCTTTGATGAGAATATAGTGGCCGTCCTTATCTTTTTTGATTAACTTTGGATGGAAGTCTATTTTATTAGATATTAGGATGGCTGTTCCAGCTTGTTTTCTGGAACCATTTGCTTGAAAAACATTTTTCCAGCCCTTTACTCTGAGGTAGTGTTTATCTTTGTTGCATAGGTGTGTTTCTTGGGTGCAACAGAATGTTGGATCCTGTTTCTGTAACCATTCTGTTAGCCTGTGTCTTTTTATTGGTGAGTTGAGTCCATTAATATTGATAGATAATAGTGACCAATGAATGTTAGTTCCTTTTGTAATGGAGTTGGTGATCTTACCCTGTTTCATTGCTTGTTTTCTTTTCATTTTTGTTGGGATATTATCTGTATGCCCTGTTTTCTTGGGTGAATTCATTTTCGTTGGATTGGAGTTTTCCTTCTAGTATCTTCTGTAGGGTTGGTTTGCTGTATAGATATTGCATAAATTTATTTTTGTCATGGAATATTTTGTTTTCTCCATCTATGTTGATTGAAAGCTTTGCAGAGTATACTAGTCTGGGTTGACATTTGTGATCTCTTAGAGTCTCCATGATACTTTCCCAGGCCTTTCTGGCTTTCATAGTTTCTGATGAGAAGTCTGGTGTGATTCTGATAGGTCTACCTTCATATGTTACTTGGCCTTTTTCCCTTGCTGCTTTTAATATCTTTTCTTTGTTCTGTAGATTTAGTGTTTTCACTATGATGTGACGTGATGTGTTTCTTTTCTGGTCTAGTCTATTTGGTGTTCTGTAGGCCTCTTGTATATTTATGGACATCTCTTTCTTTAAGTTGGGAAAATTTTCTTCTATGATTTTCTTGAAAATATTTTCTGGACCTTGGAGCCTGGAGTCTTCTTTTTCATCAATTCCTATTATTCTTAGATTTTGTCTTTTCATAGCATCCTGATTTCTTGGATATTTTGTGATTGGAACTTTTCTGATTTTACTTTTTCTTTGAGAGAAGTATCAATTTCTGCAAGTGTGTCTTCAGCTCCAGAGATTCTCTCTTCCATCTCTTGTATTCTGTTGGTGATGCTTACTTTTGTGGTTCCTGATCTTTTCTCCAAGTTCTCCAGCTCAAGAGTTTTCTCATTTTGTGTTTTCTTTATTGATTCTAATTCTGTTTTCATGCCTTGCACCATTTCTTTCATGTGTTTGAATTTGGATTCTTGTCTCTCTACGATGGACTCTATTTCTTTGTTCATTTCCTTTTTATATGCCACTAATTTTTTCTCTACTTGTGCCTGTATTTGTTTGGCTATGTTTGCCTGTGTTTCTTTAAGGCTTTTGTCTATTTCTTCTTTCTTTACCTCCAATTGACTGGCCAACCCTTTGAAAGTTTTTTTCATTTCCTCCTTATGAGCCTCAAATAATTGAGCAAGCATGGCTTTAAGGTCATTTTCCTGTGCTTCTGATGAATTGGAGTATCCATCGATTTTGGGGTTTGCTGGTGAAGTCATGATGTCCTGATTTATGTTGGAAGTGTTCTTCTGCCTACCCCTGGCCATTGGCTTATCTGAGACCTTCCCTGTTTGTTTTTGGATTCTGCTGATCAGACTGGTACTGTCTCTCTCTCGAGTCTGGAGAATTCTTCAGGAAGTTGAGAGAGGTCCCGTGTCCTTAGCGTGTGCTGAGGACTAGCTGTACCTGTGGGAGGAAAGTACGCAGGCGCAAACAAAGGCAAATGCAAGCGTGCGTGTGTGTGTGTGTGTGTGTGTGTGTGTGTGTAAGTGGGTGTGGGCGTGTGTCTTGAGGGACAGAGTGATGGCTCATGTTGAACCCTTGAGTGTGTGGGAGGGGCTCTGCAATGTATATGTTGCAGGCGCTAGTGATGATCGTAGCGCAATTTCTGGCATTAACTGCCTTAACTCCTCAATTAGACCCACAGAGCAGGAACTTCAATGTTCCAAGTGCCCCTCTGTTTCCCAAAGTGGGTATATGGGTGGGAGGGGGTTGGATGCCTGGCTTCTGTTTTAGAAGGACCCAGGATCAGGGGAGCTGCAGATTCTCAAGGGTGCACTCACTTACAGGCAGGTCACTTGGTAGAAATCGGGGTATCTGGGCTCTCTGTTCTCTGGTTTGGGCCTGCTTCTTTGATGTTCTCTGCCAGTTCCGTGCTGCTGTCACTGCCAGGTTATGAGTTCTTGCTGCAGCTGGAGATTTCAGGGTGGTCACGTCAGTGGGAATCGGGGTAACCAGGCTTTCTGTTCTCTGGTTTGGCCCTGGTTAGTCTTAAACTGGAGGGCTGATGTGCCCCGCCAGCTTAGTGCTGCTCCGCCACCAGGTTAGAAAGTTCCGCTGTAACTGGAGACTGGGTTGCTAATCCAGATGCTTTCTGGGAAGTCCTGGGGTCTGTTCACTGTGCTCTCCAAGCTTGGGAGGCCCAGCGCCTGGTGTGTCTAGCTTGTATGGCGTTTCTGTCTGGTTTTGGTGAGTATATAGCGTATTCTCTGTCACTGTGGGATTGGGCGGGCTGTATCATCAGTGATGGTGCTTCTGAGGAGCTAGTATGGCGTCTAGCAGACTCAAGCCCTGGGAGGATGGTTCAGCCGCCGCGCGGATCTGGGGCTCCAATACACAGTACTGCTGGCCTTTGCTGATAAAGGGCTTGGGGCTCCGCCTCAGTGGCTGCAGGCCCCAGGCAGTTAGGTCAGCGCTGAGAAAGTCTAGTCCGCTGTGCTGAGGAGGAGGGAGGTCTGGGGGAGGGGAGTGCCGAGAGATCAAAGGATCATTTCTCACCTTCCCCAAACAAGTCCCTGGGTGACTGGAGACCAAGGTTTTCACCTCCTGAGATGTTTCCTGTTGTTTAGAAAGTCTCTCTCTTGTTTCCCTGGCTTCAGAAGTTCTTCCACTCATCAACTCAGAACTTTATCTCTTCCACAGCTCGGAAACTGTGTGTGCTAGTCGCCATCTTGGCTCTGCCCCCTACTTCACATTCTTATTTATTTATTTTTATTAGTTACATTTTATTAACTCTTTATCCCATCATATTTCTAATTCATTAAGTGACATTTTCAATTTCTAATTGTTAAAACCAGAATTTTGGCATTATACTTCTTCGTTTCTATCCCTTTTTGTATTCTACTTATAATGAAGCTTAGCCATCTACCACTTCACATTGGATCCTAAATCTGGCTGCTCACTTGCTCCAGTCTTCCTAGTCTGGTCTAAGTTGCCAATCGTTGACTTGGCTTGTTTCAGTAATTCTTTATCGGTCTTTTGAACGCTTTCTTCATTAAATTTGTCTTGATTCACATGTCTGTTTTCTGTAGTATAGCCTAAGTAAAGCTTAAAGATGAAAGTTAAGTCATATGAATCTCCTGCTCAGGCTCCCCTTCAGTGATTTACTGTATCTTTCAGAAAATTACATATTTCCTTCGGTCATGTGTCAGCATTTATCAGGTAGGCTACTCTGTCTCCTTGTCTCTGTCTCTGACTCTCTAATTTTGTTCCATATCTGGTGTGGTTTTCCTATGCTTCAAACTCACTACAGCCTGTCTGCTCCCTGCCTGTACTCACTTCTCTGAATGGTTTCCTCTTAGATATCTTTGTCTTTTCCTCACTCTTTTCTTGCTGAATATCAGTTGTAGGAACCACTCACTGATGACTGTTCTTGAAATTTATTTTTTCATTTTGCCTTGGGAAAATTATTTGCTACATTATTCTTCATATATTTTTTCATGTTTCCATGTTTCTGACTCCTCATTCTCATGTAAATATTAGAACACTGATGTTAATAATGTACAATATGCAGTCTCTACAATATGAAGAATTTCATAGGTTATGGTAGATATCTTAATACACATTTGATAAGAATGAAAGAAATGGGTGAATGAAACTTAGGACTGCATTTTCATCAAGCATGTTATTCAGTGAGTAGAACCAACTCAATGTGGCAATTACAAGGAAAGGAAGTGGTAGATGCAGAAGAACATAATATTATAAGAAATTACCTCATGACTTCAGTCTTCATTTTTAATGACATTAGGATCACAGTGCTTTTCTAGAAGTTAACATGATTTGTTTTACTGTTTGAAGGAGCAGTTCTTAATTGCTCAGTGGAGTTGCTCATTAACTATTTGCTAAGCATTGTACTGTGTCATGAAAAGGCACATGTACATAGCCTCTGCTATGAAGGAGTGTGTCATCTCATGGGATGAGAGTTCATGGACACTTACATGTCTAGAGGTCAAAATTGATGCATGGAAAATAGTAAAATGAAGATTTTCATGAGGTGATAGAAAGCCTTTCTGGAAGTTATTTTTTTTCTACTACAGATAGACTAGGAGACAGCTTATAAGATACCCATCTGTTTTGCATATGTGAACTGTTGGTCAGACATGGCCCATTCTCTTGACTCTCTAATTCCATGGATATTCTGATTTAAGAACAAATGCAGAATGGACAGCGTTGAGTATTTGATGAAAGAAGTACTCACAGGCCCTTTATTATCAGTTCAGCTGTTTGCTGACAGAGGGATAAGCAGCTGGAAAGCATAAGTAAACATGATTGGCTTGGTTAGAAGCCCAGAGGATGAAAACATAGAGCTTTATTAATATTGTTTATCCCAAATGCAATTTTTTAGCATATCAGTTCCATTTAATAGCTTTAGTTAATTAATATTTTTATTTAATACATTTAATTTTCTTTATAACAAATAGCACCTTTGAGTGTATATAAGAACTATCATACCTCATTTATGTTTTAAAAATATTTAATACTGTGCTGTGCATAGACATTTATATACTATTGTTGTTGGCTTTCAATGTGATGTGATGATTTTCTGTGCCCTTCTCTTTCAGTCGTTATGGAACTCCTGAAGAACTGAAAGAACTTGTTGACACAGCACATTCAATGGGCATCGTAGTCCTCTTAGATGTGGTACATAGCCATGCTTCAAAAAATTCAGAAGATGGGTTAAACATGTTTGATGGGACTGATTCTTGTTTTTTTCATTCTGGACCCAGAGGGACCCATGATCTTTGGGATAGTAGATTATTTATCTATTCCAGGTAAGTGCATATAACATGAAGTTTATTGTTATTTAAAAATAATTTCAAGTTTTCAGTAAATCAGTTTTTTCTGTGTTCTCTGACTGTTAATTAATGGTTTTACTTTGATTCCTAAACATTATGTAAAGAATTTTAACTATTGTACAGTACATCTATTTATGGAATATTTTGTTTCAAGTTTATAAATATGTATTTAAAATATTTTGGTGGTATTGACACACTAAGTCTTAATGTGAGTCATTATTAATAACATTATTATTAGCTTTATCTTGTTGGATCAGTCAGAAAATATTTTGTTAAAGAAATAGTCATTGCTTTAAGTAGACCACTTAAAATTCATATTTTATGTTTTATGTAAGCAGTAGTTCAATGTTTCTGTCTGCAGCTAATTTACTAAACATAAGTGAGGTTATTTTGTATATATCCTGTTTCAAGAATAGATAAACTAATTTTTACTATTTAAAAAGTTAATTTATTAAAGCTTCTGGTAGTTTATAGAGTATTTTAACATGCATGCATTTTGTCCTTACCCAATATCATGAGACTGGGTCTGGAATTTTCAACTTGTAGCATCAAAATTTAAAGGATTAGAGATTGTGGGATATCAGATACTTGGAGACATTCAAACTGTATATTAGTTACCAGGATCTTTGCTACTTTTGAAGTGAATGACATCATGTATTAATTATATTTCTCCTTACAGTAAGTAATGAATATCAGTTGAAAACATTTGAATTCTACTTTTTTTCAGATTATTCTATTTAAATTTATTCAGCTGAAATGTTCACAGTGTTGGAGAGCATCTTTTCCTGGCAGCTCAGTTGGTCTAGGTGGTTTGCCTGGTCCCTTTTCTGTCAAGCTTTTTGTTCTAAGTTTTGTCTAAGCAGCTCTGCTTATCTGAGAGTGATTCTCAGGTTATATCTTCTTGAGGACAAAGGGACTTTCTGAATCTTGTCAGTTTCAGGGACTACCTTAAGCTATTTTGACTTGCTTATTTCCTCATTTAAGGAGCTTCCCTGATAGATGGACTGTTTTTCTTCCCCTTCAAACATCCTGTCCAAAAGTATCATGTTGTGCCATTTTCCCATTGCTTCTTATATATCTTACTCTTTCCTCCAGGATGGAAGGTTTTAACATCAGAGAGGAAATAGCTTCAAAATCTTTACTGCCTTCTACTATTGTGGCTTGCATAGGTTATCATTACTCTAAAGCCTTTTTTAAAACAAATTTAATAAATAAATTCACAAGTAAATGTCTACTCTGCTGTTTTAATTTATTTTTTTGCAGTTTGATGAAATAGGCTCTTAGTGACTTAAGATTCCAAGTGTTTACTCTTCTAACCTGAGCACACTTTTCTTGTTGTATCAGCTTCAATGTGCTTATGTTATATACAACATCTACTATCAGGATTATTTTTCTCCCATAACAGGTAGTTGGTGCTTGGCATCAGCCTTGACAGTGAGTCATTGGCCTTGATCTTTCCCATTGAAGGTTAAACCCTTTCTGTAATACTTGTACTTTTTCTTAGGAGGTAGACTGTTAAGCACAGTGTTTCACATACTTTAGCACTGATAGTTAATGGAGGATCACTTCTGCTGTGAATGGTCAGTGAAATTTAAGGCATGAGGACAGTGGTACCTTCACTCAGTGGGAAAACACCTGATATTAAATCTGTGTTACATAATCTCCACATATAATGAGATTTGATCACAATTAATAGACTACTTCACAAATTCAAAAGAGGTAATTAAGATACCTGCCCATGTGGAAAATTGTTTACCTCTACCATGTTTCTGCAGTATAGAGTATTATATCTTTAAAAAGGCAATGGAATAATGTGCTTCTATATTAGAAATGCAAAACGGCCTACAAATCCTGAATAGAAAGTATTCTTTATAAATATGAAAAACTTGCACTTTCAAAGGCTATAAGTGCCTATCCCTCTCATGCATATAGCTGTGTAAAAACTCAATACTTTACATTTGCTCTTTTCATATGATAACTAGTCTGTCTACAATTTTGAGTTTGTGCCTTATTCAGATGAAATCAGAAATGACAATTTCCATTACATATTTTAAATATAATTTATTTTCTACTCTTTTCCTTTGATCAGTTGATTAATGTTATAATCTATTGACAAATAAATATATAAGTGGTGCATGGTTCAGTTAAAGTGTAGGCTTGTTCTTTAAAAACTTTAAAATGTTTTTAAAAGTAATTATATGACTGCTCAAGAAATTCATCTATATTGAATCACTTCTGTGGAGTGATGTTGCTCATTTTCATCTTATCTATATGTCACAACCTGTCACCATTTATAATCTCTGATTCAAGTGCCATCATCTAACTTATCAGAATTAAATCTCTCTCTGAGTAATGCCAGAGATCCTGCCTGTACTATTACCTGCCATGAATAAATTTCCAATCAGGAGCTGCCCATGTTTTAATTTTCTGTCTACTTTGTGGGCCTGCCTTCTAACTCTGATAAATTACAGATGACAGTTCATAGCAGGGAAAGGCTTGTCCCCTTTTCAGTTGGTTCAGAGAACTTCTTGATAAATCCATAAGTTCCAAAAGTAGCCAGAATTAAAAAAAAAAATACTTGTTATGACATGGAGACTTCAATTTTGCATTCTGTTTGCACATTTCTCTGGAATTATACAAATTCAGTGGATAAAAGAAGGTAAAATTTGGCAAAGTTAAATGCCTACTATGCTTTAACTACTACCACCAAATTATCAAATGACTACCCTTCTTGTTAAATTCTCCAAAGTTAAGATTCTGATTCTGAAAGTGAGAATCACAGTCAAGCTAATCATCATTCCCCTCTTAAATTATCATTTTGAGGTGAAATCAGTATAAGTACATTTTAACATAAAGGGTTCATAATGTGACAACTACTAAAGATATTCCAACCTTATCTTGAGTTGTTGGGCATCCTTGAGAAGAAGCAAAGAAAAGTTTTCTTTATGATCATAACTATGTATAATAAAATACCTTTTCGTTTATACTGTATAATATTTGAGTCTTGTTTACCAAGTTAATCCATTTCTACAAGTTTGGAGTGGAAGAAAACCATAAGGACCTTATATTAAAGTAGTTTTCAGTCTTCATCATTGCTCAATGATAATCTTACATAGTTCTTCTTTCTATTTATTAATGTAATGAATTACATTGATTACCTTTGAATGTCAAACTAATCTTGCATTTCTAACATAAGCCCATATAAATATAAATGCAAGTATTCTAGAATCAATTTTAATATATCTGTAACATATCCTGGAAGATCATTACTAAATCAGATCTTAATGGTCAGTCTTGAATGGGTATTATATATTGATCTATTACTTAATGTGCATATGACACAACCATATTTAGCAGTATGTTTGCAAACTAAGCATCTAGGACATGGATGAAAATGCTCAAATTATATTTAAAATATTTGTTAACTCATATTTTGTGTCTTGTCCTTAAGTAAATTATTATTTTTCTGAGAAATATGAATATCCTTCATCTACAAATTTAGGGCATAAGGTTTTGTATTTATTTTTATTTTTTTATTAATTACATTTTATTCACTTTACATCCTAGCTGAAGCCCCCTCACTCATTCCCTTGTAATCCCACTCTCCCTCCCTCATTTCCTCCCATGCCCCTCCCCAAGTTTACTGATAGGGAGGTCCTCCTCCCCTTCCATCTGACCCTAGCCTATCAGGTATCTATAAGTACTTTATGAGATATATTTGGGATGGAACCAAAATTTTAAACACAAACTTTATATTTCTTATAAAACTGTATAAGAAGGGATAATATATAGTATTTTTATTTTAACTGCTGCCTTTAGGTTAAAACCAGGTGTCAAGTTTTCCACATATAACAACATATTTTCAGGTGAGGAGTTATCGTTTTATAGTAAGAATAGCAGAGTAAATTTAAATATTCAAGTTACAATTTTGTCTTTTTTGGTTCACTTGGAGAGACATGGATATTAGGAAATATTGCAAGATATAGTTCATTAGAAGCTCCTCATGAGTTTGAGATCAAGGAGGGAGATAAGAAAGGGTTTTCACGGAAGAAAGGGTTTTCAGGGAAGAAAGAGAAGGGTCATTATATTGTTATATTAAAAAAAGAGAGAGAATAAATCACTCCATTATTCTCTTCCAAACAGAACTGTATAATCAATTTGAAATAATTGTTTTTAAGGACAGTTTTTATAACAGTTAAAATAAATAAAAAACACAGTCATATTTTATATTTATTACAAAAAATCCTATTTAATTAAAAATATACACAAATATAGATAGTCTGTCAAATTTTTCAAATTGCCAGTAAATGATTATGTTATTGAATACTGATTTAAATCATGGACTTTGTGAATGGCTGGCAGAATCTCTTGACTAACAGGGAAAATGGAAATATAAATCTGAAAACAAAACAAAACAAAACAACAACAAAAACTGAAAGCTAATTTTGGAGAAATTGACTAATAGTGAATGTGGCTTTTAATTTTTTAAGAAGCTTTTCATGCTAATAAGAATTACCGTCAGCTCTCTCCTCTTATTTAGTTCTGTATATTGTTTGGTAAGCTATTTAATATGACAAGCATTAAAGTCCTGTATTAGTGTGATAATATCTCTAACAGACAATGTTTAATTTACCCTTACATAAAAATAATATTTTATGTAATTTTTCTTTTCTATCTGAAAGTAGAACAAATTTAATTGAGAATGTCAGTGTGGTTGTTTGAATGAAAATGGTCCCATAGTCCCATAGGGAGTGAAATTGATAGGTGTGTTGTTGTCCTTGGAGTAGTTGTGGCCTTGTTGTAGGAAATGTGTCCCTGAGTGTGGCCTTTGTATTTTCAAATGCTCAAAGCAGGCCAAGTGTCTCTATCTCTCTCTTCTCCTGCTGTCTGCCAATCCAGATGTAGAAGTCTCAGCTATCTCTCTCCAGCACCATGTCAGTCTGAGTGCCACCATGCTTCCTGCTGTGATTGAAATG